AAAATGCTTTAACAGGATCAGACTGTTGACACTAACCATTGACAATAGTGATATAAGCTGCTTTCAGCAGATGCTCTGGAAATAAATTCCAAACTGATGGCAAGCGTGTGGCCTGCCGCTTGAGGCGTTCGCTTGCTTGAGACGAGCTCGACCACAAAAATAAACGCTGCTTTTTATCATTTGAGTTTAATTTTTCCCGAAACCAACTGATGCAATTATGTCTACGAGTGATCTCTACTACGAGTAACCCTCACACAGGCAAGGGGGTATATAACAAATTCGCATCCACAATTAAATTCGTAAGTAATCATAACACGTACAATGCAGAGTACGTTGTATACAGTGTGCTTACGTATCATACAGATATCTCTGCCGCATAACCCGTAAACGTTCATTCATAAGAGCTGGAGCAACGTGGAGAAACCTATTGCTCTCCATATTACATTGCTACTGCCCAAAGTTCAACCAAATAACCATCATTACAATGCCAGAATCAGCAATGCGAAGTCGTTAAGAGCGCAAGTACCATATCCAAGGTGGCCCCGTTTCACGAATAGTGAAACTTCAACGGCCAATTAGAGCCTATGAAATTAGGCCAACTGGAGACAATAACTATGTGTGTGACACGCGCTGATTCTCAACAGTTTTTGTCTATTCTTACCATCATGCGCTACTAGCGAATCCTCACAGCCCCCAATAGTTCCATTCCCTGACCCCACCCTCCCCCGTAGGCCTGCATTGATGATTAGAAAATCAACCGGTGCTCAGTTTATCACAGACGTTACTGCTCTGCTATGGCGAAACTTTGCAGGAGAGCGCCGGTAGGAACTCGTGTAGACAAGACTTCACTATTGTTGGTGATAGTAGCTATCGATATCTGAAGCGCCGAGAAAGTCACCAATCAGAAGAACGAGCTAATTTCTACAGCAACAGAAGTTTGGTTGCTTAACCCAATAATATGGCTCAGCGTGCCTTGCGTGTGCTCTTTTGTATGTCTGTTATGTCTGCGTTGTATATGCGTGTGGGCGGTACTGCGACCAAATGGCTAGCGACAGCCGACTGCCGGAAAGCTTCCATGAGGGGTTCTGCACGTCACGGGCTTGCTACCACGCTCCATCTTGGTATCTTCCATTTGTATGATACTTGACGAATGCAGTAAAAACTAATTCAGCATATGACGAAGTCGTGTCGCGAAACGTTTCGAACACTACGCTGAGGCATTCTCCGCTAGTCGTCAATTGCTCGGCTGCTGCCTCCACAGGTCAACGCATGAGAATCTCGGCCACGGGAAGTACCCACGGGGCGGACGGGCGGCCGTTCACATCGGATAGATGCCGTGTGAGTCAGCGAGCCGCATTGAGAGAACTCGCTTAGCAATTCGTCTGCTGCGCTGCCCATTTCGCTATTGCATCTAGCTGATAGGTGCCGCCAGTGCACCCCAACCCATAAGTCGGAACCGACAAGAATACAAACGTAAAGCACAGACATACAGAAACACGTGCAGAGACAACGAGGCAGACGTATAAACACGGATTTATGCAGGCAGATAAACACACAAAGCCTGCTGCCCTCACTACGCAGACAGACACATAAGCACCGCTTCACGTTGGGTCAGTCTCAGCACGGACACGTAAACGATTGCTTCGTCCCATCCGCCGCCGACCCCGTCGTTGCGGACACAGACCGGCGAGCGTAGAGATAGATTCAGAAGGGAAACAGACAGCGAAGGTTGTTAGCGCACCGCTGCACAGCACGCGTCACTCGCCCACAGATCTTCTGAAGAACAGCAGCAAAAGTCGCAGTGATGTCTGAAGATATTCAGCGGGTCAATACAGCGCTGGTAAAGCCGTGAGCGAGGCGGCCGAATGACTCGAAAAGGGGAGGGCGAACACGAAGGCGAAAACGAAATGAGACCCCCCCCCCCCCCTGATTTGAAGCGAACGCCGAAAAGGAGCAGCCAACGCACAACTGATACGTTCAACAGAAGTGTGCCATCGGCTAGGATCGTCGGCATAAGCTATAGGAGCGTCTAGTAGGAGTACGTTAGCAGGAAGCTAATGGCCAGCAATAAACAGCTGAGCGACTGTCGATTACTCGTGACTGAGAATTTTCTGAATAACAGATATAGCACCGGCAGGGGAAACAGGCGACGTAATAAAACGGCCATTCAATACGAGCAATAAGCACAACACAAATAATTGAGGATATTAAAAAAAATAGGGATAATAACGAAAAAGTCAGGCGGTGCCATTGTGCTGGTTTGTGTGAGTGTGTGTGTGTGTGTGTGTGTGTGTATGCTTACGCGTATGTGCTCCGTAGATTTCGCCACGAGAAACACCTTCTCTCGTTGAACACAAAGGTCGGCAATCCGGTAATGATGCTGATGCTGAAAAATAGCTATAATGAGGGCCAATCCGTCAAAGACTGTCTTGTCATCAGTGTAACCCAGAAAACTACAGTGAAAATTAAGATATGGCGGAAATTATGCTACAATAGAGCAACGCAAAAACACTAGCTTCTGTGAAATTATCTTGGGAAAGGAGCGAAGCCATTTTGATTGTATAAGCTTATACTGTCAAGTTTATTCAAGTGAAACGTTATGTAACTGAAATCTAGCGTGTTCGAACTCGCTTACTTGCTTCGAAACATGCAAATCCCCTAGATCTGACTTCCTGAGCTGATTGAGCTCGTCCATGATCGATTCAAATGCTTGCTGAATAAAAAATGTTCAGTGTAAACGTGTATGCGCATAGTCCACTATTTCTAACAATGTCTTGTCAAGTATAGTTTTATTATTTCAATCCATAGATGTAAAAAATACAGACAACTTTCAAAATTCTCGACTAGAGTATTATGTTGTTAAATAAGGAATCGCCATGTTTGTAAATTGCTTCCCTATGCTAAGTTCTCGTCCACTGACGGTTAGGCGCAATATATCGTCGGGAAAAGGCTCCTTTGCCCGGGAAGCTCATTGCCATTTTTTAGTTCGGCTCATGAAATGTTACTTTGAATTTAACTTCGAATGATATAGGTGTGATTAAGAGATTAAACAATGCTTGCAATAGAAAACCAACTTTGAAAGTACTGCACTTTTTAGACCTCTTATTTGTTTTCTGTCGGAATGAAAAGCCGCTGAAACTATTCGGAATAGCTGTGGCGTGTACTTCAGGACACGCCTTTACTTTAGTACTGAGACAACCACTTAAAATTGAGACCTGTTCAGGTTAAGAAGTGGCATTCTCAACGTGAAAAACATGCTTTTTTCAACTTTTGCGTGTAGGACGACAATGGGTTCGAGTCATTTTGAGGGTTCAGGTAAGCTTATATCTTCCAGCTTCAGAGCCCTCACGGTATCTCTCGGGTCACTTCCTCAGATTTTAGACATCGGCAAATTCACCTTTGTTGCACCCGCCATAACTATCTTTGAAATCCTCTTCGAGATACTTTTGTCAGCCGAGTGAAGCGACAACAACAACAACAACAACTCGAGAACCATGAACTTCTTAACGGTGAATAGTATTTAAGTATCAGCAAGCAAACAATTAAATAAAAAGTGCAGCAAAAATGCCCATTACAATCAAACAACTCAATAACTGGAGCTTAATTAATCTGTTTAGCAGACCGTGTACTACAGACGACAGATGCCTTAACTTCTTACTTTCTCTGATTTTTTTGAAAAAAAAATTATAATTCAAGGGAGTGTTATCCTTTACACCCCCCTAATCTAGTAAGCTGATTAAGAGAAACGCTTTGTACAAACGCTACATAGCGCCTAATCAGAACTGCATAGTTTTGCGGGTTATATCCCTGTATCGTAAATGACACTGACCCATTTAAGATAATTTTAAATGGAACCTCTCAATTCTAGGCACACAATACGAAAATGAGTGAAGTTTATCATGTTTGCTAATCTCAAGATATATGTAAGAAGAACGTAGAACGTTATTTTATTATTTATTTAATAATAACAACATGATTAAAAAAAACGTATCAGTATTATTTCAAATATTTCACTGAAGATTAAGCTAGCACTACCTATTGTAGAGGGGGGAAGGGAGAGGTATTTGTACAGAAGAACGTAACCGCTTAAAAATGGGTTGAAGCGGTCATCGTTGAGTTGGACCAGACATAATAGTCCAGTTGGGGGTGCGCTTGTCGGCTCAAGATAACAGGTTAGAGCTGATCGGTAGACGGCAAAACAGGTCTTGAACTCTTGTCGCTGATTGCTGTCCGTCATATTGATGCAAAATGATATATGCCCTAAGATCGTTTGTTTTTCTCGTGCTTTTATATCTCGTTTTCTCTCCTTTAGAAATGTTCATTATCGCAGTATGCTTCATTTGGGGTCCATAAGAAAAATAGTTTGTAGTAATCATTTGTCGGCCAGCCACCATTTGACGATAATCCCACTTCGCCCCTCCTTTACCTCGCCACTATGGTCGCGTCGACCGCGTGTTCGAAGACCGACTAGATTCGGTCGTTTTCGGAAATCGCTCGGGATTGGTCAACTCAGGCCGATTAGTTCGTTTGTCCGAATGCGTTTATCAGGGGGTCTGACTTGCTTCCACAGATACATCAATTTCATCAATTTTTTTTCATTGACTTTTGATGCTGTGTTTGTTGTCGCGCCTTGTTGATGTAGTTTTTAACGTAGAAATTAACAAACATGCACATAATAATGAAAACTGTTCCACCCGTATTGGCCAGAGCAGCGGGTGGGTATTTGACGTCTATAAAGAATGCGCCCGCCATTAGAATAAGCATACAGACAAACTGTATAATCTGAAGAAGTGTCAAATGCTTTTTCCACCATAGATATGGCCGCATCACCGGGAACGTCGCCAGGAGATAGTACGAATACATGATGACATGCACTCCGGCGTTCATGACAAGACCGGGCAAGGCGAAGTACAACCAGTTTTGACGAAGGTATAACCACATATTGAAGACGACAGCAACATGATGGAATACGTGAAGCGTGCTTACATGACTTTGCTTACCGGATAGCACGAAAAGAACGGTGTCGATCAGGTCGCTGATTCTGACAAATAAATAGATGTATAGGCAGTTAATGAGTCGCATAGTCGTCGGATCCCGTTGAGTGTTCGGCGGCTCTCCATAGCCAATTCCAAGTTTGTAGCAGCACACGCATACTGTGTACACGGTCCACGCACTGATAAGCACCTGGTAGAGATTGAACACGCGGGCAAAACTCTTTACATTGACAGGCTTTCGGTCACGCATCATCTGGGGACCCACTCGAAGAACAAAGATGAGGTACGTTCCAATAATTGAGAACACTGGCACAGGTGAATCGATGAGTGGCCGGCCCTTCAGTCGTGGATCCTGTTCCAACGAGTGCCACATTGATGACAATACCTCCATATCGAACCGTTTACAGGTGGATGTCGAAACAACAAGGCCAAACAAAATCGGGGACGAGCGTTAATCGTCTCCAATGGACACCCCAAACTAATTATTACTAATTACGAAACACTAACTATTTTCAATTAGTTAATAATTCGAATTTCACAGATCGGCCTAATAGCTTGGCAATCTAGTGACACGATTTGACCATGAGGTCCGGAGCGGTCTTATGCTCCTCGTACTCTGCTAACTGTTTCTTATGGTTAACGGTTTAACTTCAGTTGCTGACAGAAAAGCCCTCGCCACAGCTATGGTAGCAGTAACATCTGCGATCGGTGTGGGACGGTGGCGAGGCGCATATCCGTGCACCCTTCCCGAAATCTCTGCTCCGCTGCGATCGTGAGCTAGTTCTTGTCCGCTGTTGCTGTAATGCGATTTTCGGCTGTTCCTCGTGCAACTGATGGCTATAGTGGCATCGGCACTTCGTACTTGAGACGCCCAGGGCTACTTCTCCTTTGATTGACTCGTATAGAAGTCGATATAGAAGTATAGAAGAACTTCTTGTACCGATCGAGAAGTAGCTTAGCTTGTTACTCTGAAGCGCTACTTATTCCGAAGTCATTTTTTGTACGCTGTTCGTTGCGGGAATATCCACAATTAGAACTTTCTCGAGGGCGAAATAACAAGCTCGCTTGATCGGGCTACGCCTCGATAGGGTAATTGATGCCGGGCTAAAGTCAATGCGGTGAACGGCATAACGTAGCCTGAGTGCTACAAAGCCTAGCATAAGGTCGATAATCAAGGATTTCGTTGGCAGTGAAGCAACCTCAACTGAAACCAGGAATGTCACATTTAATCGTACAGCGAGTGGAGGAAGATCTGTGCATTGAAGAACTTGGCATGTTGCAAAAGAATTGCGAAGGACGAATACGGAGGTCATGAGCGGGATAAAAAGCTGTGGAGCAATCCATCAAAGTTCTTTTGGGAAAAATGTTGATGAACTTAATTCCAGAACAGGATGCCCTACAGACCGATTCTAAGTCTAAGTCTTGCAGGAATATGTGTAAATATCCGTAGGCTAGCGACAAATAGTTTAAACATAATGCAGCCAATTTCACGTTTCGCTGCAAAAGGTTCTAAAAAAGAAAGTAGGTTGATTACAGTCTACTACTGTCAAGTGTGTCTAACGTTTAGTTAAGAACCTTAAAGAAAGCTAATACAGAACTTAATTAACATAGGGGCATTTTTTGGAGTTAGAGTCACCTTAAGTTGAAACACCGCTCGAGTAAAACACACAGAGTGACTTTTAAATGTAACATGTAGCAAATTATGAATTATTAAACTTGGTCCTGGTGAACATTTCGCTTGAAGGACTAGCCAATAATCTAAGTAACACTTGTTACAAATGCTAGACTTTTATTTATTAATAACACCACATAATCTTGTTTATCTTTACACGGACAATCGTTTATCAAAGCTCTGGAGTGCCGCTCTAACAAACAAAACTTGGGCTCCAAACCAAACGTTGAATATGAGCTCAACTATATTTATGTAACTTTCCACAAAATCAAAAACCAAGCGTGTGAGCAGCTGGGAAAGTTCCCCTTGGTTACTGGTCATGTCGGATCGTTGAAGTACGGCTATATTCCGAATAGTAATCGCTAGATATTTATAAATACGTATGCTAATTACAAGCTACATTTGAGCTGTGCGCCTAATTTTTCTTTTCGCCATTTGACGGCTTGCAGGCCGTGCATGGACACCACGCTTAGTCTGAAGTTTCCGACCGTCGATCGCATTGTTTTCACAAACTGCAGATTGTCTCGACAAATTTGACACTACTGTTTTAAACTGAATTTCCACACTTGAAAAAAGGAGGGCTCCATAAGGAGTTCCAGTATCCTGCGACATTAGGAACGATTTGCTTGGTGTGTAAAGCTAGCAACTGCTATACCGAACAAGAAGCATGCGTCTTCTTCATGTTTAATGGCCAAGTAGCGATTTCGTTGATTGTTCGCAAACCAATACAACCTGGAGGTCGTATTGGTTTGCGAGCAAAAAAACGAAGGGCAGGTTACGTCTGCACGAAGATTCTTATATGTTGGGTCCGGTAAGAATTTTTATTTAATTAGCATAATTTTATACGCCAACGAGAACGGAATTCGTGAATTGGTTTAATTAGAGAGTTAAAAAAATAACACAGACGCACTAACGCTTAGAAAATTAGAACTAAACAAATTGAAAATGTGTAGAATAAAAGGACATAGCTAGAAATAAGGCAATGCAAAAAAATCTCACATTTAATTATCTTTTGGAAGATCCCTCGAATGCTCCCATGGCTGCGGATCTATAGCCACCATGAGCCTAGATCTTCCTAAGGAACGGTATAAATCACTGTGATTCAATCCCTAGACACAAACTGAATGAATTTAATTGTAAATAAAACAATGTAAGTCTAATTAAATCAGATAAATTTAACATTGATAGCCTATACTATAATAAGTTACTAGATCTATATTTATTCAGTAATAGAATTGTTAGCTCCCGTTAGGATCTAGCTAGCTAGCTAGCTACTGGTTCGAGTGCACTATATGATGTAGTTTTAATGATACAAATCTATTTTCCAACGCCATTTTCTTCTGAAACATCAGGTGTAGATGCACCAGTTCAGCGCTTCCGTTCTACTGCTAAAATCACTTCAACTGATACCAGCAGCGGCACAAAAAACATTCTTATACCAACGATTGATAAGCGATGATGGCATAGAACCGCTATAGTCGAAGCTTATCATTACATCTATTTGCCGTATTTTTCCTTTCGGTATACCAGCGATCTTCGAACTATTTATATATAGCGATATATCGGTGGATAATGGAAAATTAAGTTCTCTCTATATTAATTCGTCCGTGCAACAACGAAAAGATCTTCGTGCACAACTAACTTCCAGTTTCTGAATTACTAATAATAATACTAGCAAGTAATATTTGTGCCGATGAAAAATCGTCAGCTTTCAATGCACGGCGAGGCGTTGGCGTAATTTTTTGGCCAGTTTGTGACTGCTTGATGATACCTGACTCGATAGGCACTTGGAAATATAGGTGAGAGCAAGCAAAATGCATTTCGTGACCGTGCGTCGACGGGGCTAACGGTAGTTATCTCGTAGGCAGGTAGGCATCAGCTAAAGTAGTGGTATCGGTAACAGCTACAAGCTCGAAGGGAGCTCGCACCTACATTTCACGCTGTCGTTTACCTGCCAAAGTAACACGTACCGAACTTACCAGCAACAACTTGGTGCTGCTATATCCATTAATACTCGGCAGCGTTCGTCTACGTACATCCACGCCGACAGCTTCACTTCTACGAAGAGCTCTTCGCTAAGATACTCCGTGCACTGGTCAAATATAAAATTGAACGCACTGTTTTACGCATGCGATGACAGGTTATCATATTTGAAGATACTTCCGTAAAATGAGCGAAAGCTTTTAATACAGAAAGGTTCAACGGCGAGTTAATAAACAGTCCTGAGGACGACGAAAAAACGTCTAATAATAGCGCGTTTCATGGCAAAAATGCTAATCATGATCTGATGCTCTTGCCATGAGTTGTCCTATCCGTACCTTCAGCAAGTAGCGTAGTGTAACATGGCAACATAAGCAGAACGCACTTAAGGCAATACGAAGCAGGCCATGATTTACGAAGTATAATAAAATATAACTGTTTGAAACTTTTTAGCTAGCCAGCCCACGACTCATTCCCAGAACGTCTTATCCAACAAAACATGAATATCTGCACAACTCTCCATCATCGAAAGGTACTAAATCGTTTGCCTTTTTCGATGGTTTTGCAAGTTTCAGAGTTTGAAAATTTAGCTTCATTTGTGTAGCTCGTATTTGAGTGGGTCTTCAACTAGTGTAGGCATCTAAGTACTGCTTGTCACCTAAGACAGCCGCATGAAAAAACCCAAGCACGTGGAGAAAGCTAAGTTCCTGGTACGCCCTTTTGGACATAAATTCAAAAAACAAACCCAAGTAAATGATATTCATTCATATCACACCAATCTAAATATTTCTTGGTCGTAGGATTAAAAAAAAATGCTACATAGTTTTCTAGTAAAAATGTATAGAAAAGAGGTTATTTATTTTTCCATTTAGGTAGTGCGTTCTGTATAGCCAAGCTGAACGATGAAATATTCTGTGAATGGCGTCTTTCTAAATACTCGCGATTACCTCATCTATTTTATAGTAGACCTAAAGCATTTCTAGTAGCTACCTTGTCCTCGAATTGATCCAGGCCCTAGCTTTTCATGCTTGAATGTAGTTAACATTAAGCTGGGATCATGACTACATATTTGCTGTGTAAGTTTAGCGTTGCCCGAGGATCTAGAGAAAAAAAAAACAAAAAAAAAAAAATGATCTACTTGATGTAAGCCTGGGCCGCGGCAGAAATCCAGGATTTTTTTGTACCACTACTAAGAGTTTGGCAGAAACGTGGCCCAGACATATATCTATATATACTCTATGGATAACATTACATAGTTACACTGTCAACCCAGTTTTACTGTTAAAACTGTGACCGTGAGTCTTAGGGAACAAACGTCGTGCGGGATCTTCTCGATGCGCTATCTATCTTCTATACTCAGTTGACTAAATAAATTTTCTAATAGCTGTCGTCATGTGGCTTCGAGCGGTTGGACCATGAAGCGACTACTGCTTCAATGTAATCCTTTTTTTTTTTTGTAGCAAAGGATTGATTTTGGCATCCAGTTATATGTAAACGAAATGTTGGAACAACTGTATGGCACAGGTTGGGCATAGCACTATCGGTTATGTATAACGTGGTCAGAAATCGTTCTAAGTTCTCTTCTTCACTAGACAACATGCGGATGCGGGTCGTACCGTATGTACAATGAAACAACTTGTTTGACAACGTGCAATCGAAGATAGATCTATACACGAGTGTATTATGAGATATTTTTCTCGAGTAATTGTGCTCTTTTGTTGTTAGTTGCGCTCAGTACGAACGTGCCAGCGTTTCCGCCAATGCGTCCCCCATACAAACAATGCGTTGTAGTAAAATTAGCGTGTATGGCAAGCGTGTTTAGTCTTGTAAATGAACGACTCGCCTAAACGAGCAGCATATAGTAACAGCACAATGTACGAATTTCCCAATTAGCCCCCCAACGAGTAGGTGCAGCGAACAGCGGGAAAGCATCTAATTGAGTTCGA